CACTTATCCTCTGCCGTTCGCAAGTTTAGGGTCGTATATACTGACCCAATAGCATATCTTGAAAACTAGAGCCAATCAACAATTTTAAGCATCATTTTCGTTCTCAGTGACCCAGAATTAGTAAAGTTTGACTACATTTATTTCAGAAGCATTTTGGCTGTAGAGCAGTGTAATCACAGTTTCTCTTGGAACAAATTGATAAATGAAATGGTCTTAATCCATGTTCAGATAGTATTCATCCAAGAATGCTGAAGAAAATCAAATGTAAAATGTCAGAAGTGCTAACAGTGGCTTTTAATGTATTATTTAAATCAGCTTCTGTAGCAAATGACTGGAGGATAGTTGATGTGATGCCAATGTTTTAAAAGGGCTCCAGAGGTGATCTGACCGTTCAACTCATGTTCTTACCCTAATTTAATCCTTTGCTGAAAAATATAGATTATTCTTCCTTGCTTCAGATTCAGCATCTGCATTCAGTGACTGAGATTTCTTTTCCATTGATGCCAACTTTCTACTCTCTACAGATTGCAGTTTAAAGTACTATCCATCTAAAGATTAGTTCATGCCAAGATATACCTAGATAGTCCTTTGTCTGTAAGTAATCCCATTGAAACAACGGGCCAGAGGGTTGATATGGAGTGTGACTTTCTTTCTAAAGCCTCATGTTGGCTTGCTGGCAGCTGTCTCAAAATACAGTAGCTATTAGATGTTGGCTGCATGTGTGTGATCTCTCTGGGTGCTGCCCCAGTTCTGTACACAGGGTGGGCAAAGTAGAACTTGATCTATCCTCCCAATTAAACCACAGACCTTATTTAGTAGTGAATGCTACCGGCAGGGTTTATTGTTAATAGAGCACAATCTGAGTATCCTGTAGGCAGTACAAGACCACTCACACATGAATGACAATTACAAAGGGGTAGTTCAGTCAAGGTGGGACTTTCCACTACCACCTAAACCAGACAAACACATTCCCTCTGAGACTCCATTTTATACACTAGTAGAAACAAGTTATGTGTTTACCTATCTATCTCATAGAACTGGAAGGGACCGTG